TCCGTATCATTAGGGAGATGAAGGAAAAACCGTGCCCTTCCTGGCAAAACATATGGTAGAGGAAAGCTGAAGCGCCCCTGCGCTGGGTGACAAACTGCAATGGTTTTGACTTTAAAAGTATGTGGAAGTAAACAAAAATCTCCATCTAAGGCTTTAACTGCTTCCACTGTTCCTCAGATAGATTACCCTAGCCAGACTGCGATTTAGGAATTCAAAACATTGCTACAGACTTTCCCAGCTTAAAAATAAGTCTTCCACATCATCAGAAACATTCGAAAGATTTAAAAAAATAATTTAAAAAAAGCTTCTTCATGGAAAGCCTAGGGATATGCCCTGTAGGACACACCAAATCAATTCTCAGTCCTCTCACTGAATTCAAAGGAAACACAGGACTGCTACTGTTCTGTGTCACTGCAGGCATGGAAGCAAATAGCACGGCAGTCAGCTTGTATGAAAAGCAAACCTTGATAACATTGAGAGCTTCAAGAGGGCTCACGTACGACTTGGAGCATGTACATCCTTTTGTTTCAGGCTGGATCACCTTACATTTCTCCCTCCCCAAAGGTTAGATAGGTGGGAAACAGATGTTCCTCAAGCTTTAGAGAAAATTATATTCAAGGATATGATCCAAGCGAGAAATTCCACATCTGGCCATTATACACGGGAAATGTCACTGAAGAAGAGTACTGCAACTGGCAGACAGTTTCGTTTTTGCTTTCTAGTCACCCCAGCACTGTAAGTCCCTCTAGGTTCTCACCTAGAAGGGGGAAGAAGGCAGCGGGTTCCTCAGCGAGGTGTGGGAACCTTGGGAAGGGGAAGAGAGAGTGAGATGTGGCTCCTGCTTTAGAGTTCTCTGTTCCTCCTGCAAGGTTGCTTTATTTTCCTTTGTTTTAACTGGCTGCATAAAGATTACCCAGAAATGAAGCCCATAAACTTCCTTCTAAAGGCCCAAGGCAAGCACAGACTAAAAACGAAGTGTTTTTCTCTACAAAGCTTTCTGCAGCAAGTCCCAGGTGATACGAAGCTGAACCAGATGGCTGTAGGAAAAAGACCCCATCAGCTGGTCAAAGCCTGGGGAAACCTCTGGCACTTCTCCGTGTACGTTTCAGACAAAAGAAGGAAGAAGCCTGCTCCTGCACGATGCAGTAGGCTGATGGGTAGGATGCAAGACTGGAGACCCAAGTTCAAGTCCCTGACTCGAATGATGCAGAATGCAACCACCAGTTCCGACTGCTTGTTTGCTGCACCGTGTAGGTGTGAGAGCACTGACAACACGGACACCGGGAGCTCTTCTGAGACTCTCACTGCTTTTGACCCGCACAGCCACTGAAGACAACTCTGCAACCCCTAGCACCTGCCAGAACCAGTGGGAGTTTCGTTTTGTTTTGTTCTTTAAAGAACTGCCAATTTCTTAACAGGTGTTTGAAAACGTTCTTGTTTGTATTAATGTAGCGTTAACTGGGATTATTAGCACCCCCTGAAGCAGGAGTACACTGATGTGTTTTATAAATTATGTATGCACTAGAATTGGTTTATTAAAGAATTCCTCAAGAACCCCATATAATAATGAGGTTGTTACACAGCAATTTGGCTGTTACAGCTATCTGCATCGCTCTGGGACTCTGCAGACTCTGCAGCAGCGCACACAGCTCCCAGGGGCAGAAACTTTCTGAGATCAGCGGGTAAAACCGAGAGAAAGCATCACAAGTACAGGGTACCTCTCAGCAGCACTGCCTGTAAGAGATGAGAACTCACCAACATGGAACGTTGTAACTCAATGAAGAAGCAACAATTCTGTCTTGCTCTTGTTCACAAACAGCAAAATAAATTAGACGTCCAAATGAAAGCATCCCTAGACCACAGCAATACCAAGCCACATCAGCTTCTGATGGTCCCACGAGACATCTCTCTGTTCATGGGGATGTGACAACGCAGAGGAGCACAACACCACAGAAGCAGACCTAACTCCCCTGACACATTACATGAAAGGTGGATTTTCCAGCCTTCAAGTGACAGAACATTTAAGGAGGGATTAGAATCAGGTTTCAATTACTTGAGAGCGGTTCCATTATGAAACTTAGAAAAAAAAGTCCACTGCAATCTCTAGAGAAAATTAGATTCTGAAATAAGTTGTCCTCCCCAATTACTGCGCCAGCTGAGATGGGCTGGACTTCAATGCAATCACTCGGTACACCCATGGTTCAAACCCTGTGCTCTTCCTTTCTCAAAGCACCTGCACCTTTTGGCATGAACCCTGCCCATGAGACACAGCCACCCCTTGACAGCTAAGGGTGGCCTCCATCGAGCCACTCACCTTGGAGAAGATTCACCAGCGATGGCAAGAGAATCACAAGAGAGCTGGAAAAAAAACAACAACACGCTAGGTCTTTGGGGTGATTAATCTCGTATCTCTCATATCTCTGAAAAAGCCTCATTCTTGCCTGCTTCAGAGGAAAAGCCAACTTTGTCTCGGTAGTTCAGATGCCAAACAGGTTGGTTTGACATTAATGCTTTAAACAGAAATAGGCAAACATGTAGCTTGTGAATTTATAGGAATGTCAAAAAGCATTTAAAGATCAATCTTTCTCTCTTCAACACTAGGAAGAGACATAAAGGAGGGTTATTTTTTCCTACTGATAATTTTTTTCGGAGATGAACCGTGCAGTCCAACCTAGCAATTTTCCTGTCATAACAAGCTGCATGAAGAGTCAACAGTAGCTAACTAGCAAGGTAACCCAATATTTACACAACCTTTCTAAGTACACGGCACACATTATTAGAAAAGGTAAAATCTCTTCAGATACCGACGTGTAAGGTTTTCCATCGAAAAGCCCACTCTTTGCCCACAAACGGGGAGTGACGACGCCAGACACAGAGCAACACTGACCTAGGGAGCCAGCAAACTACCAGCATGTAGCAGATCACAGCGTGGTGGAGGGAGGGAGCAGAGGTCTGTGTATGGATCAACGACGGAGAAAACCACCCTCTGGAAGAGCAGCTCTTTTCACTGTTGTCTACCTGTAGCAGACGTTTTTATTAATTATTATTATTTTTTTTTCCCCTTTGTCTTTTACAGGTAAGGCAGCTGCCCAGTGCTGAGGACATGATTTATTTGTGTGAGGTGAACCCACGGAGTTGGAAACTGCAGGTCTTGTGTGCAGTGAAGTTTCCTGTGAACAAAAGGTTAAGATTGCAACCTACCTTCCTGCTCCTGCTGCACAGAAACCAGAAAAAACAAGCACACAGACAACACCACAGAAACTAGAAATAACAAGCACGCAGACAACATGGGAGGCTACCTTTGGGAAAACACAGCAAATCTTTATGTCCCAGGCTTGGGGAGGAGCATTAACACCAAACTGGGGAGCTTTTGTTCCACTTATGAAAACAAACAGAAGAACCAGAGAGCGAGACCATGAGGCACTAGAGAAATGATGAGAAAAATTATCATATCATGAGAGTGGAGATGCTTTCACCAGCAATCTGGGCTTTCTTCAGAGTCTTCAGAGGAAGGCAGAAGTAAGTGTAACAGCTGAGAAAATGTTTCTATTTTTTTTTTTTTTTTGAAAGATTTGACATGGCAAAATAAAGATTTTAGCTAAAAAGCAGCATTTACAACAAGGTGTTTATATAACCAAGTAGAACACTCCTACGGTGATTGGAGTGGTCCAAAACATGACCAGTACAGAACGATTTTTTCAGTAAGGGAGCAATACATCAGCTCGTTCTCACCGCCACCTGCACTGGTGTTGGAGAACATCCCTCTCCCTTTCAGCCTCCTTAACGTGCTTCTCCAATACTGCATCACATGCTTACTCCAAGTTCTCACCTAGCAAAGCTGATCAAGTGTGGGAAAGCAGCATAATGCACACAGCAATTGTAGCACAAAGTTTTTCTGCTCATGACTACCCTTCCTCCCATCCCTTTCCCTTTCCCTCCCAGCATCCCTTCCAAAGTTCTCCTATACTTTCATCACATTTTAACAGGGCGTCTTGCTTCTTTTCCCATGTACCAGGTAGCTGTCTGTGTGAGATAATTATTCCGAGACACTCCTTGTACTGCTAGCGTCCTGCCCAAAGCAGCAAGTTCCCTACTCCTTAACCTCAGCTAGTCCTTTATCAGTACTGAGTTTGAAAGCCTGTAACAACCACTAGGGTCAAAGCAGCACCCTTCCCTTGTCAGCACTGCAGGGCACAAACACAGTCAGGTCCTTTATACGAGGTTCCTTTTCCCTTTGCTCACTGACTCACTTTCCAGACCTCTCCGAGTGCTGCTGTTAACAGGCACCGCTTACAACACCCGTCCTTCCACTGCTTCCTCTTTGGCCCACTGCCTCCCAGAAGCAAGCACACAGGGGAGGTGAAGGCACAGTCAGGATACATCCCAGCCCTCAGAGCCATATTCTGAGTAATAATAATAACACCACCACCGAATCTTTGTGCGTTAGGCTTGCATGCTTCAATGCCTGACTTCCGATACCCTTGGTTAGAGCGAGGCCTGCAGCATAACAGCCGCCTCTTGCCAAACAATCGCATTGCACTGTAATGATGACACCGTGTTACTCAGTTCCTTTCTTTCACAAAACCCACAAAATTGAATGTCACCATGGGAACAGTCTAAAGTTGATTTTGGAAAGAGGCTTATTTCCTATAGCTTTTCTGTTGGCATAAAAATAATGTCACTGAACTGTATCAGAAGCGAGTGCTTTATGAACTATCATCTGTAAAGGTATCAGTAAGCTCTGAAAACATCCTCCCCTAAGGGCTGCATTTCTTTAGTTCCTGAAGTAGAATACAGGGGCCAGAAAGGTTTATTCCCCATTTTCCTCAACAAGAAACACACCCCAAGCTACCACCAGGGTGATCTAATTCAATCATTCTTCAGCCTGTAATGTGTAATAAGTGTCAGAACGGAAAAATTCCTTCTAAGAAGAACAATTAAAACTTAAAGCAGCCATCCTGGTTGGCTGGCTGAACAAACGACACATGTTCACACAAGAATAATTCAGTCAACCGTCTTAATAAGGATTTACTTTAAACAGAACCTTGTATGGGTACACTAGACTCAGTCTCATTAAGGAGTAAGTTGGATTTTTATACAGCATGAACCATTGGCAATCTAAAACAGACCCACTGAAGAATGGAATGGAGAATCAAACGCAACATTTCAGACCCAAGCTCTATGTGCCTTTAATACTTTCTTTTTTTTTCCTTTCCTTTTTTTTGAGTGCACACTACGACAGACATTTGCATTTATCATGTTTTTAACTTCTTTTCTAAGGATGAATTCTCTGAATCTGCATCTTCCAGCTCCGCTCTGTGTCTTTTCAGTCCTCCGAGAGACGGAGTGCTCTCACTGCCTGTGGGATGCAAGTCAGCAGGATCCTCTCTTGTGCTCACGTTGTAGCTGTTGGAGTCCATTTCAGACAGGCAGCAGTCTTTGTGCAAGGTCGCACCCACCTGCACAAGGTTGCCATTGTCAGCATTGTTTGAGCGCACCTGTAGTCCTTGAATCATAGCCTCCTGCTCTCCAAAACTCTGTCCGTTGTTGAAGCACGAAGGGCGAAGATGCAAGTGGCCGTTGTTGTGGTTAACGCAGGAGGTGTCGAGGCTCCTCTCCTCGCTGTCATCAGCCTGGTTCCTGGAGCAGTGACCCGACATGCTACAGATGGCAACGGCGGAGAACGGAGGGACCAGCGAGTGGTGGCTTGGTGCTGGCTGACAGTTCTGACTGTTTTTCTGTTCCACCAGGCCGGCAGGCTGAAGGCAAGGCTCTTCGGTACAACTATTTAGCCCTTTGCAGTTAGCTTTTCCATTGAGCTTCTTAGTCTCAAAGGAATGCTCTATACCCCCGCTGGTAGTGTCTTCAGATGTGTTTTCTTGACTCTCCACCCGCCGATGATTGTCACATTCATGAGCTTGACCATTACTAGAATTTTCTACCAAACCACACTCCTTTAAAGTTTCTTTGTTGTGGCTTTCAGCAGAAAGAGCTGGGGAACCTTGAGGAACCACTGAGCTCAAGTTCCTGGCATCCTCCTTATTTAGCGCGTGTGCTGTACTGTGCCTTCCACTAGTTCCTGGTTTCCCTTCATCATTCTCCCCATCTCCTCTGGAGGATTCACCATCTTTATTAGCCGAATACGATATGTACGAATAATGAAGCCATTTGTAGGCTTTGTAAATCTTTCTCTCCACTGATTCACTGTCTGAACAAGGAGAGGTCCTTTCTTTGAGAACTTCTTTGTTGGCTGAACTCCTTTCCGGTGAAGAGGCTGGCGAAGAAGAAAGATCATCTACTTTGATCTGGGGGTAATCGTAGATATCCTCACCTATGTAAGGGGCCACGTTCTCTGTGTTAGTGTTAGTCCTTTCCTCCTTTTGCACCTTCTGTCGGCGCCTCAGCGCGTTGCGTTGCCTCATAGACGTGCGCCGTTCGTTCAGTTCCTCTTCGTCTTCCGTGCTGCTGCTGCTGCTGGAACTGCTGGACTCGTGCTCCTCGGGACTCGGGGATCGTGGCCGTGGGAACAGGTCTGTATCCAGCTCTGCCTCGCAGGTGTTGTCATCAGAATCAGACTCATTGGAGAGGGCCAGGAGACGTTTATCCTGATACTTTCGCAGCGCGGAGAGCCTCTGCTGACGGGAAGCCACATCTTCTCTGGCCGAGGGGGATTCTGCTGATCTTAAGGCCCTTAAGTTATAGGCAGTTTCATCAGACTCTTCGGCCGCGTGCGGTGGGGAGTGATGCAAAGAGGCCGAGGACTCCGACTCGCTGTAAGCGGAGCGTTCGCTCACTCCCGCGTGGAGCTGCAGGATGGTGCTCTCACTGAGGTCGCTGTCCGAGTCAGAACTCCAGCCCTCGATCTCCCGGCGCACCAGGGAGTCGAAGAAGGCCATCATCCGCGGGTCCTCCTGGACTGACTGGTTGGCGTAATCGTGAGACAAACCACTGCCACTGTTCAACACGAGGCTGATGTACTCTTCGTGAGTGTAGAGGCAACGCGAGTCATCCTCAATCCGACCATCTAGATCCCCTGTGCAGTCAGGCTGTTTGTAAGGACTCCAGATCTGTAACAGAAAATAACAAAATAAAATAAAATACACACAGCTTTGACTTCATAAACTACTAAAGCATTTGCAATAGAACAGTAGAGCACATGCTAATAACAGCTGCAAGTTGCAGATTTTTTTTATTCATGTTTACCCCCTACACCCACACTCACAATTATTCCAGAGATTTCTTTCCCCCTTCACAAACGTGTTCTTCCTGCATCTTCTTCACCCATCCAGAAACCTAAGAGCTCTCACACTGCAGATCATCCGCCATTTCAATATTTCAGCGTGTAATAATTCTTCACAAATTGCAGGGCTCTATTTTTATGTAATAGGTGATGCTTACTCACTAACTGTAAGAATAGTTTGTTGCCTACAGTATAGTCTTAGCACTAATGAGGGATGAAGGCACTTGTTTCCCAGGAAACTAGAGTTGCTGGTGCCAGTGATGTAGAGCAACATTTCATCCAGCTGCACAGCCAGTCACACCTGATCAGCAGGCAGGGAGCTGAATGCATGGAGGTGAGAAGCTGTGTTGTACTACTCCCTTTAGAGAACCGTTGAGGAGGAAAGAAAGCATCCAACATCCTCTTAAGATGCAGCAGCAGGATCGGTTAGTGGGGAAAGGTGAAGGAGAAGAGCTTTACTGAAAGCTATTTTTGAAGTGGGAAGAGGTAGTAATATTGCAAAATGAAATGATTTCACCAATATCAACAGCCTTGACTGTGCTCTCAGTCTATTATCCCCTCAGTTTTACTACTATGAAGGGGAAAACTAAAAAAAAAAAAAAAAAAAAAGGTGCCCCAAAGAAGATCCACCTCTATTCTTAAGAAACTGTTAATCCATAGTAAACGTAACAATGGATCTCCTCACCTTTCTCAGTTTTACTCAGATTCAGGGACAATACAACTGAAACACGTATTTGGACAACTACCACCACCTTCCTCTAGGTCACTGCTGATCTCACGCACAGCACTTACTGGGCGCAGAGCTAGTAGGTACCTTATCCACAAGACTGCCTCAGTGTTCTGATACAATATCTGATTTCAGTCATGCATTGGATTAACCACACTAATAAACTCACAAAATATAATGTTTCTATGCCAGCTACCTGCTCTAGGTTGGTCTTCTGGGATAGACCTCAGCAAAAACATCCAAGCCTTTCCCAATAGAAATTAGACAAGTTTTGTTACAAGTAGCCAAAATCACTCACAAATAGAGTGTTTTGCTTCGGTAAATGGGATAATCAGCACTCATCTCATGGATACAAAGTTAACACATTCAATCTCATACTACCACAACAAGCACAATAAAAAAAGCCCATGAGGATTCCAGTAATTCTGTATTTACAGAGGTTTTCACTACTGTACTATCTACCTTACACCTTTAATATCTGAAGAAAACCAAAATAAGTTATCTTGCAGCTACTTGTTCAGTGCAGCCAGATTTAAGACATAAAGGTAACCTTAATTCTAGGGTTCTCCCAGACTTGAGCATTTCAGCAGGTAGATCACACCTTTTTGTGGTCAGGGAGCACACACCTTCCTGTAAATGCTTCATGCTGTGTGCCTGGACAAGCAGGCTGGCATTCCCCTTCCTCAAAACAGACAGACCTAGTGGCATTTGACTGATCACCATGTTTTATGAAACTTTTGTTCTGAACATGTTTTGCCATCCAGTTCAACATCTCATACATGTTTTTGTATCTTGAATGCAGAATTGTCCTAAACTTCCAGCTTGCGAAGGGAAGGCCTCCTCATCACAGCGGCTTCCTGTTTCTGCCCCCTGCTTGGGATGACAAATTTCCTCTGTTTCTCTTGTCTCTGTTCCAAAGATGGATTCCTGAATCTCCTTCAGGTGCAGTTTTGCCTGGACAATATTTACTTTTATGAAGAGAACAAGTTTTAAATATTCTTGGACATGTAAGACCATTGCAAGTTAGCTCCCGGATTTTGTCATGACTTTTTTTTTTTTTAAGCAAAAGAATTAAAAAACTCTTAGATTCTGCATGAACAGAATAAGTGGAGGAGCAGTTGTCTGCTCCTCCATATATAAGTGGAGGAGCAGTTGTCTGCTCTCAAGTCAGTCTGGGAAAGGTCCTTTTTATGATGAAGAGTCATCTAAAAAGGTATAAGAAGTGAGCACTGAGATTCCACATCCTTATATTGCTACACGATCTTTCTGCTCACTAGGCAAGCATCAGAAAAAATAAATCAGTGTTAAATACCAAAAAGATAAGTAAGAAGTCCATAGTGAGGCATTTTCCCTTCTGAGATGGGTTTGTGTACTCTCAATAGGGAGTACATAAAAAAGGGAAGTCAGGGGGAATTCAGCATTTATCCCCACGAATGCCTGCTGGTACAGTTTGCACAAGATCAGATGCCACGGGAGACTGATGTCCCTACTTTTTAGGCTTTTTGCAATGAGGGAGTAGAAGGGCCTGCCAGAGTCCCAGAAAGAAATCAAAGACTCTTTCCTCAGCAAAACTGGGAAGTTTTTAAATTGACAGCAATTTGTCCAGCGCTCTCTCTGTGGCATCTGAAATGGGCTTCCTTGCAAATGGCATGCATTTGCCTTTCTCTCATCCTCTGACTGATGCCATGTCAGGGAAGAATGTGAGCAAGTTGGAGAAAATAAGTTGGCAGCTCATCCCACTGAAGCAACAATCTATCAAGAAGTTCTTTCCTTGTCAGAGGATTAAGGAGCTGAATATTAGTCACTGATGCCCCAAGTACAGATATAAAAATAGGAACAATAACAGAAAAAGGGAGTACAAAACGGCTTCGCTACTTCAGCAGAGACGCCGCTGCGAGCATCTTTGAATTTCTTGTATTCCATGGTGGCAAACCACCAAAATTTTTAAAGAGAAATGGTTATGCCGTTAGCATGAGAATAATTAAAGCCAGCTACATCAGATTATCTCATTAGGCAAAGGCAGCTCGCCACAATGACATTCATCTGTCACCATAGCAACAAGGCCAGTAGGCTCTGCTGTCCCGATAGACAGTTGCCCTCAAAATCAGGCAGTTTTCCATTTCCAATACAAAATAGTATTTTTTTCTAAAAATTCTTACACACTTTATCCATTTTACCTTTTCTGGAGCTGTCTTCTAACTGCATGATTCTCCGTGGCCCTCCTCTAAGCCCCACACGTTAGAGGGAGGGAAAGCCTCGTTTATTTCTCCTGTAGTGCAACTCATCTTCCTGCCAGCACATCCCAACCTCTTATATTTAACTGAGGAAAAAGTAGTATTTTTTTTTTCTATTTTATGTTGCTTAGCCATAGTGGCAAATGCTTTCAAGCAAAATGACACTTTTATTTGGCAGCTGTGCTTTCCCATGCTATGTTTCTGAGGTTCAGGTTTTCAAAATGCAGGGCAACGAACAATTTGTTTGGATCCAGCATACATACCCGGAGTCAAGGCTTCAAGCATCCTTTATCAATCAGCTTGCTGACTACCATTTTAGGTTTCTAAAGCCTCCTCACTTGAATATTAACACATACATATACACACACTTCAGCTTAACCACTGTATCCCCATTCCTAGTAGGGGGCAAACCCTAAAATACTGAATTATTGAATTAAATTCCTGCAGGTGCCGCCTTACTACAAAATTAAATAAAGCAAAATATGATAACTGAAAAGGTCAAAATCATTCTCGCGAATGTTATTCATTGCAGCAGGGCTAGGCCTGAGACGAATTTGTATCTCATTTGCAATCAGCATTAAAATAGCAAGTGTGTTGGCAGGAGCACATGGCATTATTGAATGGCTTGTCTGTATCACGCCTTGATGCTGGTGCTATCAGTTCCCCACTTCTACAAGAACTAAAATTAGGCCAGCTAGTCTGAAAAATAAGGGCTCAGACAAACTGACTACTTGCATCCACATTTTAATTCATCACAGTTTCTACAATTGAGGGAATGGAACAGCAGACGACCTTCATGAAGTTATCTCCTATGACTTAATTCCAGAGAGATTTTTAAAAGATACCTGAAGGACTGTGGAAGGACAGATACTTCTTAAGCAGATGATTAAAAAAATAAAATACTCGCAACAGTTTTTATTTATGGCTCTTCCTCTTGTCATCTCAACATCTCCAGGCAAGCGCTTAAAGCATTTGCGTGGGAGAAAGACAGCCATACAAGGGAAGGACTCGGCTGCTTTTAATGCAGTAAACAGCCCTCTTCCACTGGTTTGCAAGTTGTCTCTCTCTCTCAGGTGTTCAATCTGCCACTTCCCTCACCTTCCTGCCAGCCACCACCACCTTTACTCCTGTTTCCCCAAGTGGATGTTCTCTTCCTTGCTCCCTCACTCCTCAATCCAGCCACGTTTTTCCCTTTCCCTGCCCCTGCAAGGTCTCTCTCCTCAGGCTGCTCTTGCATCTTTTCACCGGGGGACCCAAGAGTCTCTCAGAACTGCTGGTGTTTTTTCTCCTGTTTTGCCCTACTGCTAGTGGCTGGTACTAGTGTCCAGCCTACCCTCAGAAGTAGCTGCAATGAAGAAGAAAACCACCATATGGTCACCTGCAAAACTGTTGCTTACTCAGACCGTGCCTTCAAACAGTAAAGCCACGCAGAACGAACAAGACATGAACCTTAAAACAACCCGAGCACCAAAACAACATGCTTTACAAGCTGAGCCAAAACAGCATACAACAAAAGCATAAGAACTTCAGGCTCTCTAAAACTTCCTACACCTTTCCCTGGATTTTTCTCTGGCTTGCAGTGTTTGGGGACTTGAGCTGCTCAAAGCAGCTACACAAGATGCACGGCACATTCTGTGACACCACGGGTGGTTCTCTTTTAAGGAAGCATTCAAGCAGAGATGTCTTTCAAAGAGTTACACAACCTGTGACTGGAACCTTAATCAAACTAACCTTTTAATCACTAGGCAAAAAAAAAAAAAACACCAACAAAACAAAACAGAAAAACCCTAGCAGAAGTACACAAAAGCAACACAGGGGATGTTTATACCAATGCTAATCCAATAGTCTAAGCACACGCACACAGGAAGGATTCATAGGGTGAAGGGTCATCAGATCTGAAGTCCAAAAGGGAGGCTTGAGACTGTGTGAATCAAATTCCCAAAGCAAATGGATTGCTCTCGCTAAACTGCTTTTAAACAGCAGCAGACTGGCTGCGTGGAAATTGAAAAAAATCAGTGAGGTGCTAAGACTGTTCAATGCTCTTTTGTTCAAAGCCTGTGAACTGACAGATTTGTGATCAAGATATTTGCATACAAACCTGTCCAAGGGACACAGGTGAAGTACATGTAAAACGTAGAAAAACAAACTAAAAGTACCATTAGAAGACAGAAGAGAAGTTGAACTAGGACCAGGTAGCAAAGGTTGATAGCTGTAAAGCAAGTGATGCAGCTGGATGTTGGGCCATGGTCCCACTATGTTGTCCGGTTCTAGTCCATAATTTGCAGACCCTTGGCAGGGCAAATTTTTTCAGTCAACTTGTAGTTTACTAAAGAATTTATTTACTCTTCACAGAAATAAATGACCCGATTTATAGCCATATGCAGCTAAGACCTTTACGAAGTCATTCAACAGAAGTGTAGAAGCAGCATTAGTTCTTATTATCCTACTTAAAAATTAATAAAAATAAAATGTTTTTTTTTTTTCCTCTTGGCAGACATAAATAATAGCAAAATTTCTATAGCAGCAGAATGCAAAGTGGATTAGAATAGCATAATCCCATTTCTCCACTCTCAACCTCTGTTATTAAAAATGGCAAAAAAAAGTTTCTGCCTTGCTCCCACAATATCAGCTGTCTTTCTTTAAGCAAAAAAAATACCAGAGAATAACAGAGTTCACCATCTCTTTACATTCCACATAACAAGACACAAAGTTTCTAAAAAATGTAATAAATTGTTACATGATTCAGAAGAAAGCCACAGAAAGGGATGGTGAATTGATCTAATCCAGAGGTGTGTACAGAAATTATAAAAGGGACCCTGAAGCAGTATTTGGGCCAAGTCCAGCTAGGTCAGGCTATGCTACGGCTCACCTGCACCATTCAGAGAGAATTTGCTAAATTTTTCACTGAAGTCTTAGGAGATCGCATATTATGGCTGTTACCAAACTCTCCTAAGTTTGTATGGTACTTCAGCAACATACAGAATTGAAGTGGGAAAAAATATATCCTTTCTCAAGGTAAAACAAAAACAACAACATGAAATCACAATCTTATTGCTTATCTCTAAAACGTTTAAAACTGAAATGGAGTTCTAAGTTAAAATGCCAATTGCATCAGTTTAGCCAGTTAACGAGACATACCACCTTAGAAAAGGAGATAATGGGAAGACTGGATGGGCGTGGGGTATGAACGATGCGAAGAATTTGAGCAAAACAAAGCACTCCTTTCTGAATTACTGAAAGAACACACTTTCTGATAATTAATCTTACCTTTATAATCTTTTCGACGCCAGATGAACAGATCATGTAAGTGTGAGGATTAAACCGGACTTGGTTTACAATTGACCGATGACCTTTCAATACCATAAAAGCACCATTGACAACCCTGCCAATGCCACCTAGGGGAAAAACAAGGACAACTGAAATGAATAATTAAGTTTCCATATTGCTTTCATTCATAATAATTTAAAGTCATATTATATTTGACAATGTGCTTCAGCTTTATTCTGCAATACTTAAAGCCTGTGTTGGCTGCAGAATTCCAAATTTATGAGTAATGCCCCTATGAAAAGCTGCAAGTTTGATGAAAAGCATCCTTCCTGCAAATTATGACTTGGAAGCTAGCTTTAGTTCAACTATCTAAACAAACAAAGAACGTTTTTGACCCAATAGGACAAGTATGTGAATAAGAGCAACATACATATTTTATGAAATCACCAGTGAAACCATAGTGCCTAAGGCATGACACTACTCAGTCTGTGAATGCGAAGCAGAGACAAATAAAGAAGTTGACTTTCTATTAGCTGTATTTTTTAAAAAAATCAGCAATTCATCGTTGTCACAATTAACTCTAGTCAGACGGATAGGAAACCTTCAGGGCTACTAACCTGCATCACTATAATACAGCTAGACTTAGTACAGTCTTCTCTAGACCAGGATCTATAATAACTCATATTTCTGTGAATCAGGCTTAAACAGGACCCTGAAATAACAAATCTGACCAGTAAGTTATAGCATTCTCTTCTACAAGGGAGAGAATTAAAGCAGAATACTTCTGTAGTAATTGTAAAACTCAAAACAGAAGCTGAGTTATTGACTCTTACTAAGTCTATACACCAAAGCAAGAAACTGTCACGCTGTATTTTTTTTAATATATATCCACACATTATGCATTATTAAAGTAAATAAAATGATTACTTTGTTAGAAAGCATACCTTCATATCTGAATAAACAAGAGTCAATCAACATGCTATGATTAACAGTGAAAGAAAGTGAAAGAAACCAAGATGGGAGGTAAAAACTGAAAACCACTTCAGAGGAAAACAATCTTGCTACTTACAACTTGAAAGGTCATAAGCACACCTTATAGAACGTTAAAATCACTTTAATAGCTTATGTTCTACTTATAGTCATCTTAACACTGAACAAGTAAACTTTACGTATATGTAAACTGATATGCATATGTAAAGTTTTAACATAATTGCTTCTTGTTGCAAGTGTTTGCTATCATTCTTTGTCCTCAAGAGGAGCTCTCTTCTGAAATAGCTGCTGGTCTGAGCTCTAAACCCAATGTTAAACCACCCGTCTTCTGAAGCAGGAAGTCAGAGTTCTCCACAATAAACACTTCCAGAAGAAAAGCTTGCATTAACACCAAAGGGTAGAAAGACATAATAGTCAAAAAATAAAAAGAGGGAAAAAAAGGCATTCCTCTATCACCTTCCATTTGTTAGGTCACATAAATGATAAAGAACTGCAGCTTGTGAGCTTCTGTTTAGCCCCTCTCCTCTTAGAAGTACTCCATCCATTCCACTCAACTACAGTCTAAAGACCAGGCTGATGTGTACACAAAATGATGATGATTCAGAAATGAAGAGTTATACAACCCCCTAAAAATCTCAAACCTATCTGCAAACAGACCTTCGAAGCTTCTGGGAAGTGTTCTATTTGCACAGATCAATTTTTGCAGGCACTTTGGAATAGAAAGATAACATGCCTGAGAAGGGAAGAGAGATGGTGAACAAAAGAAAGAAAAAAAAAATTAAAGACTGTCTATAAGACATTTAAAATTCAATGAACTTGAAAGTGAGATCATTCCAGTTAACTTCAAGATATATTCACTAGAACTACTCTGAGACTGAGCTACCTGGAATAGTTCTCTTACCTGAGTACTCTTATCCGAGCACACCTGTATTTTCTGCAAAGGTTCCATAAAGACAAGTTTGGCCTTCAGCCATTCCAGCAAGATTTCACCAGGGTAAGCAAAATTGACTAATTCATAACTGATTCGATAGCAAGTTCATTAAATGTCAGATTGGGCTCTTTTGATTTTCGTTTCCTTTTGAGGTTCCTCACACCCTTTCATTCTGCTCGCCCTGGTTAGACATTCACGACCACATTTGTGGCTGATGGCAAGTTGCCCTACTCCCACAGCATTCCTTCCAGCCAAATCACACTTGTCAATCCACTTGCATCTATCAAGCAAACTGTAGATGGTTACATCAAGTCCAGTTCTCAACGCATTTATCTTGACCTAGCAGACAAACGTTCCAGGAAAGAGGGCCTCAGTAGTGAAGAGACAATTTGCTTAGGAAACGTTTCCAAGTCTGCAAGTAATGGCGAAAACAAGTTTTAACTATCAGTGGACTCTAGCTGCCTGAATTCCATAGAAAGCAAGAAATATACCTAATGAAACACTTACAAAATAATTTGAAGTTAGGGAAACAATAAGCAAATAGGGAATTATAATGGGCTGCATTTCGAAGCTAGTCACTGGCCTCTTCTGGGACCATAAGCGGTATGAATTTACCCACTATTACTTTCCTAGTAGAACAGTGATAACAGTTATTTAATGTCACAACTGTCTTCTGAAACTTCAAATGTTTATAAATTTACTAAGAGCACTGGATGAAAAGTACACGGCATGCCATGTCTAGAACACAGCTCTCCCTAGGCCATACTCAAATTCAGAAAGTGTGAAGAAACTCCAAAGCCTTCTGCTTTAACAGTGAAGTTTTCTGAATTAAAAATCACAGAATCATAGGGGCTTTGGGTTGGAAGAGACATTAATGATCATCTAATTGCACCCCCCTTGCCATGAACAGGGAAACTTCCCACTAGACCAGGCTGCCCAAAACCCCATCCAGCCTGGCCTTGAACACTTCCAAGGATGGGGCATCCACAGCTTCTCTGCACAACCTGTTCCAGCGCCTCACCACCCTCTGAGTAAGGAATTTCCTAAAACCTAATCTAAATCTATTTTCTTTTAGTTTAAAGCCATTACTCTTCATCCTGTCTTGACAGTCCCTGACAAGGAATCCCTCTCAAGCTTTCCTGTAGGCCGCCCTTAGGTACTGGCAGGCCGCTATTAGGTCTCCCCTGAGCCTTCTCTTCTCCAGGCTGAACAACCCCCACTCCCTTGGCCTGTTTTCATGGGAGAGATGTTGTTCCAGCCTTCTGATCATCCTCGTGGCCTTCCTCTGGACTTGCTCTAATAGGTCCTTTCACACTGTTAATAGTAAAGAGGAAGCACAACACTCAAACATGCACTGGAGTGAACTTCCCTACAAAGCCCCTTAAAACAACTAACTGCCAATTACAGGAAAAGTCCCCAAGAGCTTTGTGATTAGTGGAACCACAGTTTAGCAGACAGTTTTTTCCAGTAGAATGAAAGGTTTTAATAATTTAAAATGAAAAGTACTGACTCCAGCAGCGTCCTGATAATCTTTGTGTCAAATGTAAGAGATTGCCCCAGGCCCTTGGTTTTGGAGAACTCCCTCGCCTGATGCAGTTTTAGTCTATCAACTCCTATACGCTTTGGTGATGTCTCTAAACCAACGCTTAATGCAGAGCCTTCTTCTCCATCCTTATCCTCTCCACTTCACAGTCGTCCAGCAAAGCTGCTATCATATTACATGAGTATCTACGTGGCAGACATGCTTGTGTCCAGACTTGTCTGGAATCCCCCTGGTCTCTCAGCAGGCCTCAACAGTCCAGGCTCAGCAGAGGCTCAGCTGCATCTGTACAGCTTCTAGCCATCGCACAGTGTGAGCCGAGTTTGCTCATGTCTGCTGCCAAAAAAATAAAAATAATCTCTGCATTAAGTTGAGGTTGGCCACCAAGCGCTCAAATTCCTGGTGCCATCTTCCATTTTCATACGTAATGATTTCTATTTATTTTGCTGTCTTCACTTAAACTGGTGTTTCTATTTCCATTGTTTTGCTTCAGTTATCACAAGAAAACTTAAAATTTTGCTTCAAGTTAGCTTTTTTTTGGGGGGGAAGGTGGTGTTGCTTTCAAATTTAGTGGCACGCACAAGTCTTGCAACTGGTTTGGCATGACAGCTTTCATATTCTTGGATAGTTACCACACTTGTACACACAGTATTTATACAAATGTCATAGATTTAGCTCACATACATGTTGGTACTATTAAAGAAAAAAAAAAACTTTTAAAAGTCTTCACAGGCTGATTATTCAGATTTTAGAAGGTTTTTAACTTTCTAACCCATTGGAGGAGGGGATGGAGATATACTAGCTGGTTTTGCAAAGCCTTCCAAAAATTGCTATGCTTACAGACAGTTCTGACTAGTGATTTAGTGTTCTAGCTGTGCTGGTCTGCTTTTATTTGATACACAAAGGGAAATGTCAAGAAAATCCTTCTTCTTCTATACCCTGAAAACAGGTGTACCAAAGAGGAGCAATTCAAAGTCTCAAAAAATTCTCTAAATATATCCTACTATGATATTTGTCCAGCTGCCACAAACAACTTGTTAGAGCTTAAATCTAAAGTGCACATTTTAAATATACACTTTTAAAAGTGATTTCGTCTACGCAAACTTGACAAGAATACCATGGCAACATGGCGTACCTATAGGCTTTAATACAGACTGAAGGAAACAACAGTACAATGCCTTGGAAGCAGTAGATGTCTACTGAGTTGTCAAAGGGAATATATTTTTGCTTGCTTTATTATGCGTTTGAATATTATGTAATGGAGTATTAATTATGCATATTTTCATATTTATGCAAATAATATAGCGTTTCATATACAGAGAACATGTTTGATGGTACACACCACCAAATTAAAAAGCAAATAAACACTGGAAAACATAATAAGGGAGAGCAAGCCACTTGGACAGCAATCCTCCCATGGAGAAGTTCTGTAACACTTTGCAGTATTTAAAACAAACAATTGAACAAATTATTTGGAAAATAAGGAAAAAAGGGAAGTGCTTATTCAAAAGAGTGCCCTAGTGCAGAAATCCTGTAAGAACATGGAAGAGTCTCTGAAGTAATAGAAGCTGTATTGCTCCAAATATTTAAAAAGAAGTCAAAGTACTGGAGAACTTCCTGGGATAAGGAACAATCTCCACGGTCTCTGTAACAAAGGAATTAAATGACCTCATTAAAAAGAAGTCCTTTCTATCTAGGACACTGGAAAGAAGTCCCACTGGTTGTTCATATAAGGTAGAAAGACGCTCCATAAACTAATGCATAACTTCATACAAGCCTTGCAAATTACTCAAAGTGTTGAAAGCTCCTGAGAAGAACCAGATATCTGCAGCTGCTGCCAGTGTGCCACAGCACAGCGTTTCACTCTAGTACTTGGCACTACAAAGAAAGCTAACTTAAAAATAATTTAGTTTTCATTAATAATAATAATAATGCAGGACACATTAAGTCCACAGGCCACAGCCCTGAATTTGAATCCTATGAGATCATGAAATGCTCACAGAAGAGAGGCTATGCAAGCACCAACACTGCTGAATGTTGTAGAACTCTGATGTTGCTTCATGTTCTTCCACCAGTCAGGCAAATAAACATTCACAGCGTACAGGGCTTCTGCTGTCAGGGCAGCAAATTATGTTCAGACCCCTTTCAACGTCCATTTGGTCACTTGCTCACCTGCATTTGCTTTGTTCAATGCATGCCAGCAGACGGCTTTGCTCCTCAGAGAAGTGTCTGTAGAGAAGCTAGATTAAACACACTCTTGCCAAGAGAGCACAGGTCCCTGCACCATCCCTTCTAGTTGGATCAGGAATCTGAGTCCAGCTGTGGCAGCAGCCAGAGCAAACTCAAGGTTTCCTTGCAGCACAGGCAAGGCTGACTTTGGTCATGTCAAAGAACAGCATCTTTGATAGTGAGAACAGCAAGGGCTGGTCAAGAACCTCTCCCTTCCCTGCCAGGTAAGAGAGGGTTTGGTAAGACAGGAGGCATCAGGGGAGTCTCATGTAGCATTCCTGGACTGCTAAGTGCTTCTGGGGAAAGCTGTCTCCAATGAGATAACCCCATTCAAATGTTATGAAAAGATCTGTTGAGGAATTCTTCAAGCCTAAGGAGCCGTCTGCATTTACAGTGACCAAAGAAAAAAAGGAAGAAAAAATTGCATCAGTTCTGCTCAAAATTGATGCAATTAGTTTGGTAACTGGAACACAATGATGGGCCCTTTCTTGCTAGCAGCTAAAGACAGAATTAAGAAGAGGTTTTGAAACAGTTTGCTGTTCTGATTTAGTCAAGTTTTTCGGACTTCAGTCAAGTTTTTCTTTCTCTGGTAAGAGCCCGACAATGCAAACTGAAGGATTGCCAACTGCCTTCTCTATCACAAATACCATGTCCCTCACACAGCATCTTCGAGCAGTATTTCAAAAGCAAGAGAGACAAGCTCTGAGTTGCAGAGATGATTCAGAGTAGTGGGTGAGGAATGTAAATTCCTACTAAGCCCTCTATTACTCCGCAAGACATGTCAGGTTCTGTCTTGAACGGGGATTCTTTACTAAGAGGCTGTATTTATGGAAGTTAGGTTTAAATACTGCCTGAAGTGCTTATGCTGTTTAAAAGGCTTGCTGGGCAGGTCACTTAGGGCCGATGTCTGTTCTCACTTCTAGCTTGCCTTCAAGTCAAATAAATGCCATGGAAACTCAGGACTGCTTTTCTTCTACCAGATCAATGTATTTGTTGTGCTAGAACCTCTGCCTCTGAAGAAAACTGGAATATGTGCTTTAAAGAGGAAGTTGGCTAACATTCACCATACGATTGGCAGCACTCAGATGGAAGAGGAAGCGGAATTATCAACAAGCTATTCCATCTTCAAGAAAGGACAAAAAGGTGGTAAAAAAGAAACTCCTTTTTGGCATTGGAAGTCCTGGCTTATTTAGAACAATCTAAAGTTGTGGAGGAAGACAGTAAGGCTCTTCAGCAGAATAGCTCCCTAAGCAGCTTGGGGAGTATCTTTTGCTCTTCCCCAGCTCCCAAACAGATCTTGTCTTAAAAATTCATCTAAACAAAACCACTGGAGGAATCTCCAGCTGAGGGGGAATGACGCAATGCAACCGACTGGGAAGACACCTCTAAACTATAATTATTTGCCATAAAACCAGCAGAATCTGTTCTATCTTCCTGGCAAAATACCAACACAGGTAACTGCATTCCTCCACAATGAAATAAGTTTGCAGTTGTCTGACTGATGTATTCTATTCTAGTCTTCTTCATCTTTTGTGTAGTAATATTGCTAACCATGAGTTAGCTCATGCTTGCTATACCTGGACGAAACCAAAACAATCTGTTTCAGAGCTGTCCCTAAGCACACAGCTCTATAAAAAGGTTTATTTTTGCAAATAAGTTGCTATTTATGTTATTTATATTAATAGCTGATATAATTTAAGGGAGTTGTACCGTAAATATTTATAGCAACACAATGTCTGAATTCAACTGGAAAGATAGAAATCGGTCAGGGTGATATTTTTATTTAAAATATCAACCGACAGTACAGGACATTACATCATCCTGTCTAGTTTGTACAATATTTAAATGAAAAAACCACATCCCACCCCCTCAGATTACAGACCCAAAGACATTTCTATTTTAAGCTCAGACGTGAGAATAAGGAGTTTTCCTCTGAAGCAGAAGGTTTCTAATGCCTCCATACCCTATAGCAAGACTTCTCCAAGAAGGAGGCAGAGCAAACTCTCCAGTTGAATTATCATGGGCCACAGGACCAGATTTAAAAAAAGGATGTTTCATCACATTCAAAAAAGGCCCAACCCTTCAAGGGCTGAATGAAGAAAAGAAGAACTTCCATAAGACTATCACAAGTGACTTGGATGGCTGATGAGATTTGCCACAGAAACCAAATTTCTAGGTTTATCAAAGCAATACTCATCAGCTTTTTAAAACTCCTTCAGTAAGTCTCATGAGCAGTTCTCTAAGACATACAGGTTCCTACTACAGGATCTTCAGATGCTATTAAGCAATTACTGAAGGCAATTGACATTAAGTAATTCATTTTGTAACTGAAATGTTGCAAGTTTACTGACACCCTTCCTCAAGTTACAAGAAGCAGAAACAAAAAAGCTGACCGAAACACATAAGACAGGTTTTTATGACAATTCCAGCTATCAGTCCTTGTGCACAGGTTCCAGATACAAGGTTTGTCAGCTGTAGCTGTCTGGAAAAAAAAAGTTTTCAAAAGCATCACAGCCAAGTACAAGAACCCAAACCCAGAATTTATAAATGCAGTGAGGATAAGTATAGAATTACATTTTGTATATGTTACTACAGTGCACAAGAAAATATACAGATAAGTAACTAATGTAAATGTATGTAACTTTTGCTTTAGATAGGAAGAAATTCCATATTTAGTAATAAAATAATAACAAATGAAGAAGGAAATCATACAAAGGGAAAGCCGAGCAGAGGGAAGTCTCTATAAACCCTTCAAGAAAAGGGCAGAAGGTTGAGGTACTGATATTTTTAATAGGGCCATCTTTAGGACTTCTGGACTGCAACACTAAATGTTCATTAAATAACCAATCCAAGATTAGAAGGACATTTTCCTCAAAACTCTGGCATTAAACAAACCTTTTAGAGGTTAGTCATCCTCTTAGCTGTGGATTACACCGTGGTGATTAATGGCCTTTCAAAGCAAAACAAAATCTTTCCACTTCACCTCCAAAGCAGACTGTAATTTTGTCTCACTATTGCTAGAGCACCTGAGACCATGAAAGAACTCTTGGTTGTGCTTAATACCACTACAATGTGGAGTTTAAACTGTGAGAGCTATTAAAAACCAAAACGGTAGTGGATTTTCCTGGAGTCTTAAGTCTTTCAACAAAGATTCAGCACCATTCTGAAAGGGCATTTTGAATTGTTTCCACAGAAGAGAGGTACTGATGTTATAAGGCCTAGAGATAGTAATGGATGGCATCGCATTGTCAGATCCTACACAATACCAGACAGTACCAAATCAGGCACCGACCAACTGTATAGCATTTGCAACACCATTGTTATATCCCACTCTGCTGCTTTTCTTTAACACCCCCAACTCCTGTTCTATGCAGATTTGGATTACTGCTGCTACTTGCTTACTGTGTCTGCCCCAGCTTGGAGAAAGGTCAAAACAGTCGTAAGTGGTCATCGTTGCTACCAGCTACAGTGCTCCTCCACCAGAACGTCCAAGAGCATACCTGCTCTGTGTCAGAATTCAGCAGGAGGGTTTTGGGGTAGGAGGAAAGGAAGAGGAGGGTGGCATTGTATAAAACTGGCCAGAATCATTTTACGCTGCAAGCTTCATTATGGGATGAAGTTTCTTAGTAACAGATCTGAGTACTTCAGTGAGCTCAGATCAGCTTAGAAGCAGCAGAATTGGTAGACTCTTGTCTACCAAGCGAAGGAGGAAAGGCAGACCCTGCCTCCAGCCACAGCTCTCTCTGTCAGCTCATCCAGATGATTTAAATGATCATTATAAGAGAAAAGAAATACAAAGAAACCCACTATGATCACAGATTCAAATAGCATTGTCCATTGCTACCCAGAGACTGCATTATGTGTCTGTAAACTCTTCCCATCCAGCTTTCACCAGAACAATTCTGGATTCAGAGTGAAAACAGCAATTTTTCAAAAACAGATTAGTATTTGTCAGGCGTTCTCCACCCTAAACCCCCAAATTCCAAAACAACAGAACTTACCTGCTTCTGGATCTGGAGGAATCCTCCACATATACAAATTGAAGTCATCAGAGCCCGAAAGAATGTACTGTTAAGAATAAAAATAAAAGCAGTTTACCACAAGGTTTCACCTGAATTACTTTATTTGATTGTTGATCTAGTTTCTCCAAAAATAAAAAGAAAATGAGATAGTTTTCCTCATTCTTTGCACCTCACTGATCAACTTATCCTTAAACAAGGATGAGGTACCCACAGAAAAATGCTACATGCTTATAAACGGACCAAAGTTAAAAGCATGCTTCGTGTATCTAATGCCTACTGCCCAAAGTGCAAGTTTTCTATGTCAAATAAGGCTACAGGCTTTAACACCTACAGGACTAGAGCAAACATGGATCTTGCAGCCTGCAACTCTTGCCAGTTTTTTAATGTCTGCCACTCACCCTTTTTTCTCTCCTTCTGAACTACTGAGGAAATCTTCTTCAAACACATACCTGAAGAAGAGAGCTAGCACTTTCATTGCACATAAGCACAACACGTGTGGCTCACAGCAGTCTGCTGAAGACCATCAAAGGTCAGTCAATGATGATGATAGTCTTGAGCACTGAACAAAACCAAAGCTAAACACTGTCACCAAGTCTCAAACTGTTCAAAAACCACATGTGAATCATGTAGTTTATTTTTCTCTTGGTTACAGCTACTCTGAAGAGATGGACAGCTGCCCTTTTTCAACAGTACACGAACAAAAAGCAAGCTTTATGGTGTATAAGTTTCGGAAGTAATGCAATCTGAAGTAGCCCTACTTAATAAACTACAAACATTTACTGGAATGACAAGTGACATCTGACATGGTAAAAAGCTTATGCCCCTCAGTTAAGAGAGGCTATAAATTGTGCCTTGTCTTCAAATATCTCTTATCCAATAAACTGTAAATCCCTAATTAAGAGATGAGAAGACACATAATGGAAACACTGGCAGATACCAATTCCAGTTACATTGGTGCAGACAGTTTAAATCTACCATCCTCAGCACACTTATGGGTTCTGCTTAATCAATGCAATCAATAAGCTGGTTTTTGATTATTTCATTATTATAATTATTTGGAGGGAGGGAGGGAAGTAAAAGAAATAAACAGAGCAAGTCTGTCTCTTTCTTTATCCGTTGATACGAGAAAATTCTGTTTTGTTTGGCTCAAATATAATTTGGTTTATCTTTCACTCTCCAGGGATATCTAATCTCATCAGGCAAAGTACCATCAAGCAGTGAGGAGATAAATCCTGGAATAACACAGGACTGCGAATCAAATAAACAAGAAATATATATACCAACACGGAGAAGCTGCTATAAATTTACACATATTCTGTTTGCAATGCTAATTACATTCTTGCAGAGTTTTGATGTTTCCAGCCACAAAAATTGCAATTACCAACCACTGAAGTCCCTTGTCTGGCGTCCAACTATCACAATCCAGCCATTCTTCTTTCTCTTATTTTTAAGGATGTAGGATGTGAGTAAGCATTTATGAATGCAACTCTGCACATTTTCTGACAGGTAAGAAGCATTGATCAAACACCAGTTCCATTACAAACGTGTGTGCGCTAGTTCTGCATCACTCATAGACCCTTCCTTTCCAAGCCAGAAAGCAATTTCTACAAGTCAACGTGTTCAAGCACTTAGGCAGCTTACCTCTGCCAAACTGACCTATTGGTGCCAGGAATACGTGCTTCCCTTTCATCTCGCTGCTTATAAACGTTAGCCCACAGCAGGCTGAGCTGCGGTGCCAGATCTGCACAAATCAGGGCTCTCATAGGCAACCTCCCAGCAACCAGAAATAAAGTAGCTCTCGTGTTTTGTTACACAGAAAATGCCCCATAGGAAGAAAAAAAAAAAAGCAATAAAAAAAAAAAGCTTATGCTTAATGTTATGAAAACGTTGCCTGTTGTTGACATTTATTACCGAAGTGTGCAGCTGAAGCAAGAACTGGTTTGTCTATGATGTGGAGAAAAAAAAAAAAAAAGACTTCTAAAACATCTAAAAAGCTCAGTATCTTTTTTTAATGTATTGTGGTCATAAATTCAGAAGTTCCAACAACTCCTTTAATATGAGAGCAATTTACCACTTCATGTATGAAATCAAACAAGCCTATCAATGTCAGGCCCAGAAGTGACAGGTTTCAGATATGCCACACCAGACACAAAACACAGAAAAAATCACATTATATACGTGCATGGAACCAAGCATCTCTGAGGCTCTTCAAATCAGCTTCAAAACTGATCTGTGGATGAAAATGCTGTGTGTCCTGTAAGACTCAATGGTCAACTGTCTAGGAGATCTGGTGTATCATTGTCCACTGAAGAGGAACACACTACCTTCAAATGCTCCTGATAGAGTCTAACTTTTGAGAAAGGGAAAATTGGTGTGTCCTTGCAGCGATGCAGACTAAGGGCAATTTGACTGCATTCTCTTGAATGCAACCAGAGCATCAAGTCAAGTGATTATTCCCCTTACCTGGCCCTTGTGAGGCCACACTTGGAATACTGTGTCCGGTTGGATCCCCCAGTACAAGAGCAACCCTAATAAATTGGGCATAGAGTGGAGGAGGGCCACCGAAGCTACAAAGGCACACAACCTGCAAGGAAAAGCTAAGGGAACTGGGAACTGCAGAAGAAAAGAAAGTGAAGGGTCAGAGTGGACCCCAATAGTCTTCCGCTGCCCAAAGGAACCCGGAGCAGGCAGGGACAGACACTTCTCAGAGGCATGCGGTGAATGCTCAGGAAGCAATGGTCACAAGTCACAGCAAGGGAAATTCCAGCTAAGCACAAGGGAACAACGTGTTCAGGAGCATGACAAACACTGCAACTCAGCCCCAGAAAGACAGGGGAACCTCCACCCTTGCAAAACCAAAATTTAACTAGGCTCCCTGATCAACCTGAGCTTTGACAATGCCTGCTCTGAAAAACAGCTTTGGACAGGTGACTTCCAGAGCTCTTTTCTGATTCTGCGAGTACCAAAGAAATAAAAAGGAAAGAATTGGCTTAGCAGAGTGTGTTTTTTTTTTCCTCTCTCTCCAAGGACAGAGAGACTCAACTCCACTATCTACTTAAAAGCATCACAATGTCCTTCAGTTAGTTATTAAGCCAGAAGATGGTGACATTTGCAACAACCAAATAAATATGGCCAAATCATTCTGGAGGCAGTAAGTACAAATGCAGCACCCACATTGCAATTTATGTCTAATCACAGAACAAAGCTGAGGATTCGAGCTGATGTTGTGAAGAAGTGTGTCTAACCTTGAAACCCAGGCAGCCATCAGTAACGGCCAGAAACTGATAGATACAAATTTGATGTTTTAAACTACAGGCTGAAGTTTTTATATATATTCAAGTTTAATTCCAATAATTAGCTCTCGCTAGTAATCCTTAGAAACATACCATATTCTGCAAAATACCCAACAATTTGGAATCTTCACCATTCTACTGCCACCACAGTAGCAGCTGCCATGGTTTTTCATTCTTCTACCAAGTTAAGAGGTATGTACCTCTAGGGTACATGCTTCTTCCTGCTGTTCTCGTAACATAGAACTAAATTCCCAAGGCCTTTTGCCTTTTTCCCATTCCTTTTGCCTTTTTGCTGTGAGATCAGGTGATAGTAGGGAGCTGAGAAGTACAACATGGCTTTGCAGCTTCAGACCAAGAGGCAGCCAGAAGCACAACTTCATGACTCTGCTACTTGAAGAACAACGTGCCAGCTGAAGCTTCCAGAGCAGGCACCCAAGCTGCTGAAGCCAGAACTGCACTGTGCCATGCGGCAATGCCAATCAGTAGTGTCTGCACAAGGCAATGGGAACCCAGGGCCTCTGGAGATCACAGCTGGACTGATGGTACCGGGACATTTCCTTGATTTTTTTTTCCCCCCCATGTACTTGTTGTTAGCATAACAAATAAGCCAATACTTTTCCCCACTGGTTGAAAGCTGCAGGATGACAACTGAGGAATTGCAAAAGTCAGTCCCTGCTACTAGAAAATTCAAAGAAATAATTGCTATGAAGTGCACCAAGCCCTTGTTAATAAGGCTAAAATCCTGAGGGGATAGAGTAGACTTCTTAAAAGGAAGAAGAGAAAGGAAAGAAAAGGGGTTTGGAGTACAGTAGATGAAAGAACATCATGCTGCATATGCTTAGACTCCACTTTAATTATGTCCAAGGGATTTTGGTCCTGAGGGGATGCGCAAAGAGTAATTCCTAGCAGAGCACCTTCTGCCTCAAGAACAAAAGCCTGGATAATCAAATCACACAGGCAAGCTAGTAAGAGGCAAAACCATGTGTGCTTACAAAAACAAGTAAATGCTAAGACAGGATGCACTCTCCCTCCTTTTTACCCTCCCCTCTGAAGAGAGGCTGTAAGCAGAGCATAACACAGAGAACTGCTGTAGCACTGAGTTCTGCATGAGAGCAGACGCTGAGCAGAGAGTACAGATGCTCAGATGTCTGGGGGCAGAGACCAATATTAAAACCACCTGTTTGATTGTCTGCATTTTTGCTGCTGTATCTGACTAGGGCTTCAGCATGTTCACATGAACATGAGATTGTAGAGAAAAGCAGTTGCTAATAATTAATATTTATTTTTTAAGAAGGGAAGAATCAGCTGCTACGTCTAGCTGTTAGTAACAATGACAGGAAAAGGCTTCCAGATGACTACCAGCTGCTGATTCAGTGGTTTGCCTTAGAAGGAAGAAAACTCTCAGGCGTGGTTAGAGTCTGCTGCTGGAGAAAGTCTGAGCCTCAAGTACGCATGAAATGATTAACATGAACTATCATCAGGAATCTGGCAGTGCTACTTCGGACTAGCGATCTCCACTCGCTCCCTGCAACTCTTCTCATCTTCTCTCTCCCCAAGGAGATTAGAACAGTTGATATAAATAAATGGAGATCTAATCAGCCACTGCTATAGACTTGTAACAGTAGCATTAGCACTGCATTTTGCAATACCACTCTGGAGAATTTATTTTTATACTTACCACTGCTGGTTTCAAAGCTTTCAAAATCCCACAGGCTGTATTTCCTCAGGTACTACTGAATATGGACTACTTAAT